TGCTACCTGTAGACCTTCCTCTATGTACTGTACAGTAATTCTCAACTAAACAAACTACAGTACAGTATGTGCATGACATAGTACAGTGCTTAAAAAAATCTCCAGATATCTCAGCTGTTTTTGTACTATAATCAGAAAATTACTGGACAGTGTAACTATCCATTTGTAAAAGTGTAACTTTCTCCAGGATAAAATTAAGTGTCTAGCAAGAAAAATAAAATGTACATGATCTGTGAATTAATAAAAATCACAGTAATGTACTGTAATTAACTTAAGACATCAATAATTTGGTATTTACTGTGACCTGTCTATCCTCATCTGCAGGACCGTAGTGGAAGCCATGCTACGACCTGCGTACGTCGGAGGACCCAACCAGCAACAAGGTGCTGCCTCCCAGAACCAAGGTGGCACAGCTTCTTCTCCTCCATCTCTGACCAATTATCAAATGTTTTCAATATTTTTGGTTGAAGGAAACTTCCTCAACAAATCTGTTATATATAAAGCAAAGATCATCTCAACATTGTGAGCTCCTCTGATCAGTGTAGTGTTAGGAAGAGTACGTGGTTTACTTGCAGCATGATTGGATTTGATGTTAGCGGTGAATAAAAAAGCAAATTAAATTGACCACTTGTTGCTGAACGCACACTCAGGTTTCATGCATATGGATGCCCAAAGAACCAAATACAATACATTATTATAGATTTAGTAGTGAGGATGTAGATTTCCAGCAGTGTATAAGTGAAACATTGTTGTTGTGATTATTAACATTAATGTAGAAGCCTGTGGCATTAGGCTATGGTGGTCCACTCCTGTTGTCTTCTCAAGGTTCATTAATTTTGGAGCTCATGAAGTAGATCCCTGCCATTGTTATCTCTGTTATTACCTGAGAGTTATACCTGTAGTAATTACTAAGATATTTTGCTTTAATGTATTCTTAAGCTATTGACTGAACCTGCCTTTACTGTTGAGGTAGTTTAAAGATAAAGAGTATATGTAATTAACATGTAGTAGACCTGGACAACACGGTGTATCATTATCCCAGATTCTGACTGTACTGTCTGGGAGTATTCACCGTACTGTACATACTTTACCTTGTCCACTCTGCACTTCTTGTTATCCTTATGGAATTGGGCACAGTATGATAAGATGATATTGATTGTTAACCCTTTTAACTGTTGACTGAACTTAAAAGTTATAGGTTCTGGTTTGACAAATTAAGGTGAGCAGGTGGGACCAGCAAATGCATCTGTTTCATGATGCAAGTGTAATGCAATTTTTAATATGTTACGTGCAGTTATCTATGAAACTACGAGTATATTTAACAGTCTTATGGAAATATATTTAATAAACTATACAAATTTTAAACTTTAAGGAAAAAATCTTATTTCTAGGTTGTTAAAATCATAAAAAAAAAATGTAAAATTTGGCAGATATTTCAAGAGAATTTAATTTTCCATATCAAGAGACCGACCAGATTTTTGCACAAAGCTGACCACAACCCACATCTGCCTTCCATTAACTGCCTTCTTTGTAGTTGTAGAGTTGATGGTCCATGCCCTTAGAAACACATATGTTCCTTGGTGCATTGGTGTTGTGATCCCAGAGTGATGATGCAATTTCTTAACACAACAAAAATCATCTAAAAGATAAAAAGCTTTTCGTAAGTATGAAAATAAAAGTTCAGTGTAAAAAGTCTTTGTCTATATCAGTGGCTCCCAAACATGGGGTCGCAAGATGCATCACAAGGGGTCGCACAGAGGTCATGGGGTCTCATACAGCTCATAGTCCAGGTGTCAAGGACTGAAGAACGTGGCCCAGGTGCTGTCTCCTTAAGTCAGGAACAATAAATTATGGTCAAGGAAATAATGCAGTTCTCTCCTTGTGTCAAGTCAGGTCAGTCCAGGGAAGGTGAACAATGACACATTTAGTTTCTGTTCAAGACAGATGTAAAACAGTGTGGCTCTTTTGTCCTCCAATAACAGAATTACAGCCTGACAATGAGGCAAGGATGAATTTTGCCATCTATGATGACATATCAATGTTTTGGGTTATTTATCAATTTGACATTCAGCTTTTAAAAATCAAACTATCAAGATTGTGATACAATTTGGGAGCTCCTATGTCTGTGAGGCAGCTTTCCTGTCCATGGTGTTTATAAAATAATGATTACCGCAACCTTATATCAAACTTAAACTTAGAAAATTGTGTGCTGTGTTGTTTAATCACATAATTATACCAACAGTTAAATTTTTTTTAATGGTAATACACACACGTTACATATGAATTATGACAGATGAAACTTGTATTGAAAATTAATTATATGCTGATGCACACAGGTCACATGCGAAGTACGTACTGTACTGTACTGTATGACATAGTTGTAACCAAGAAAATTGTATGTTAGGTTGCTTAACCATGTAATTATATCCCCAGGTATAGAACATTAAATTATCAAAGAAACATGGCACATATTAAACATGACAGAGTTGTAGCCTGTTTCTGCCAGTGTTTACTTTTAGACTTCTCCAATATGTAATAAATTTTCCTTACATTGTTTTTATAGCTAAATACGTTTATCAATATGTCCGTATTTCCTAAGGATGCTCATATATATACAGCATATGTAATGACTTGGGGTCGCACTGGATAGGCGACAAAACTAGACGGGGTCGCACTGGAAAATGCTTGGGAACCCCTGGTCTGTATGATTATATACAATATGCTATATTAATGTTAATTATGTTAACTTGAAGAAATAATGCCAGTATAAAAATTACACAATACTAGAGGCATAATAATTACTGTAGTTCCTGTGCAAGAGCATGAAAGATTAATGATTATATTACAAGTTGAAACATTACAAATACCTATATAACAAAGGAGTTGGTCTCCCAACTTCAGCTGGAAACTTGTAGGAACAGACATACAATATCTGTTAAAACTAGATAAAAGTGTTACCTAGGGCTGGTCTGAGAGTTGGTGCCTGTTGCTTGGAAGACACGAGTTGTTTGCCTCGAGTTCTTGAAGTGTCATCTTGAACAGACTGAATCTGCAGGAACCATAAACAAGTACAGTATGTATGTATGTTAACAGTGCTTAGGAGAGACTGTAACTTTGAGTATCTGCAAACATTATAGCAGTAATGTACTGTATAATGCAAAAATATTTATGCAAGAACATAAATTTTTAAGATTGGTAAAGAGGGAAAAATAATTGTTGTTATAAAGTATGACTTTTGCATACAGTAGTGTAAAAATATCCCACATACCAGTACATGATAATTAATAAATTTCTTAGATCATTTAAATTTTCATATTTGCTACAGTAATGTTTTGGCAATTATGTGTACAGTAACTAAATATTTGGTAATTATATATCTCTTCACTAAATAACATGATAAAATTTTTATAAATTACAAAAAGATTAGATTATGGTAGCAATTTTCTGGATGCAACAATTCTGTCCATGTTAGCCATCAGGAAACAGGCAGCTACACTGATAAAGTTTAATAGATGATCTTCACCCCTGTACGATATGTGCAGGTAGAAAAATTATTGGTTTTTTATCTAAGTGTCTGGTGCACTGATAAGTTTACATAGCACAAAAATAAATACTTTAATATAGGTATTGTATTACCAGATACTCAAAGCTGTCTCCTCTTTACTGATTAGGTACAAGGCATTGCATACTATTGCATTAAGGCTCAGTTGTTAGGTTTAATAAAGTGAAAAGGTTAATTATATATACGTATATATATATTATTCATTATTTATGCATAGTTATGACCATGTTTTCAATGTTAAGTCACTAATTTGGTTATGTAGATAGTAAGTTATACATCTTTTATTATTTAATAAATACCTGAATATCTATCCTTAGTTTGACTGACATCTACTTTCGTAATACAGTAATATCTAACTCAATTTACCGTATATCACAAGAAACTTATAGATATACTGTACCGCACTACGCTGTGTCCACGGTTTATTCTGTAACAAGAGCTCCGAGGGTCTTGTAAGTTACGACCTCCAGATACAGTGTGTGAAGTCACAAGATGGAGGGTATTCTATTCAGAGTATCAAAGTAGGGAGGATTTACATCCTCGAGGATTGACTTACAATGTCAGCTGGGAGATACAACATTGGAGTGTGATTCCTTTTGAGTATCTGGCTCCTGATCCACTTCTGCTCCCACAACTTAAGGTATGCAACCCACCTCAACTGTTTTTCAATTCACCCATGTTGAGGGATTTCTTCTGTTAATGTTATTCCAGAGAAGCAAGAAGCTTTACATATTCAGCTCTTTCCTTTATGATCGTTTATTTTACAAGCTACATCTCTTACCTTATGATGTCATTTCTTTAACTTTCAAATTTTTTTTTAAGATATAACTCGTGTTTTGCGAGCTTCAACTCCTGAATCCTATCTTCCTACTTTTATTGTGGATGATATTATAAAGAAAGAGTGAAGCTTGAAATATTAAGACATTTTTATTAACGAGAACATTTACAGTAGAAGAGAAAGGTATAGGATTTTGAATGTTCTAGTTCACATAGTATGAAGTTGTGAGAGATAAACAGATAGCTGTTCTAAAACTAGTCTTAACGAAGCTTTCTGTAGTTAAAGTTACTTTTCAGTAATAAGTCATTTAGTCACCTGCAGGTGGGACAGATGGACAGTTAGAGCAGAACCATCATGGTATGGTATATGCACATCACCCATCTACAAAAGGAAGTATACCAAATGGCTTAAGTTTATTTAAAACTGTTGAATGAGCTGATTTTACAAAATTAAGTTTGAAAATACCTACGGTCAGATACAGCAAAGTTGAACTGGCTTAGGGTGTCTTAATTGTGAATCGAGATAATGTACCTCATTTATGCCAAGTGGTGAGAACAATCCACTCACAATTGGCAGGAGAGTAGATTCTTGAAACTTATGACCATAAACAGACAAATCAAATGGTGTATCCCCACATTGCTGAAGGATAAAAAAAAATCATTATCAGTATTTACATATAATTGTTTATCTTAGGAACCATATTATATTAAAAATATATATCCTGTACATATTTGTAATTGCATTGATAAGTTGCTTTTAAGAACAAAAATAAAACTCAAGTTTATTACACTACAACTCACTTGAGTATAAAATGGTAGCGTCCCAAACATTTGTATTATGAAATTACATTGTAAATTATTCTAAGAATACAGTAGTGTTAAATAAAGTTACAGGTATAAGCAAAAAGTTAACTTCTCTCGGCATTAAGGCAACATTAAACATGAATGGAAAAATATACCCATATTTGAACTATTGAAAGAAATAATTATTGAAGAGAAAACTTAATTCTTATAACTACTGCTACAGTGCTTGGTATTCTTTAATAAGATTTCCTGCTATGACTAAACGCTGTATTTCTGATGTGCCTTCATAGATTTCAGTGATGCGCGCATCTCGATAGTGTCTCTCCGCTGGCATGTCACTGACGTATCCCATACCGCCAAGGATCTGTATAGCCTGATGACCACAGAAAGTGGCTGTTTCTGAGGCAGCCAGTTTAGCCATGGCAGCAAACTGTTGAAAGTGGGAGAAAAGGTAAGCATAACATTTAAGTGTCATCTCAAACTTAAAAATGAATCATGGTAACCATTCCAATATTCTGTTTATAACCCGCACTTATATAAAATGCATCTTCCTGAGGCTGGAAAATGGATGCAGCCAGTCATGGTGCTGGTGGACAGAGGATAAAGGATTGTACAATATAAGGTCTGGAAGATGGGTGATGATAAAGAAGAGTACCTGGAGGTCAAACACAGAAGAGAAGTTTATTTGGTTAAGATGTATGAACAGGATGCATTTGCAGATAAGATGAATAGTGAATATGCTACAGGTGAGATATACAGAATAGCAAGGCAATTCGAGGATAGAAACAAGGATTTAACTGAAGAGCAGAGCATGAGAAATGACTATGAAGATGTGGCTGACAATCATGAGGAAGTTAAGGATGTTTGAAGAAAATAATATGATCGACTGGTGAATAAGGAGTTTGACTGGGACAAAGGCAAGTTCTGACCATTACAAACAATATAGGCATTGCCAACCAAGTAGAAGTTTAACCTGCAATATTATATATTAAAAAATTGAAAGATATCATGGAAAGGTAAAGAAAGGAAAACATCTGACCTTGGTATATGGCTTCCCTTCATCCTTAAGTACAGCTGCCTTATAAGTCAGAAGACGTGCTGATTCAATTTTTAGTGCCATGTCTGCCAGTTTTTGCTGCAGAAATAGTAATTTATCATAAGTTCATAAGTGCACAATCACATTCAATTTAAATAGTTGCCAATAAGATAAAATAATAAATTGTACTGTAAAGGTATTACAAAGATGTGGTTGCTGTGTGGGGCAACTTTAAGCAAAGTCATTCCTAGGTAGCCTCGAACACATGAGGTAACCATTACAATATTATAACACCAGGCATTTGGAAATAGCTTAAAGGTGTACAGACTGGCTGACTCATTAGAGTGTTATAATATCAGTATTTGAGTATCACTTATTGAAAGTAGGTCCTCCAGGCACGATGGGACAGTGCAATTACTGCACCGCAATAATACTAAGCTTTGTTATACTGTATAAGAGTGCAGTGTGGACAGAGCATTGCATTCACTAACTATGAAGTTAGGTACCTATTCACAGATTGGAGATGAATGCTGTATCCACTTGAAGGCAGCAGCCCTTTATATATCCATCATTAATAACCACTATTTCTATCATATGATGTGAAAATGTTTTTCAATCTTGTCCACAAGTTGATTCTACAAATTTATGACTACAGGTGCACACCAGTGGTGTATTCTTAATGAATGTAAGGTATGCATTGCATGCCTAGTAGAAAGCAAAATATATTTTTAAATAGTGTTTTCAATAATACAGATTTATTTTTAAAGTCTTCACAGTTTTCACTCAGGAAAGTCGAGGAGACTCAGCTGTATAGATATGTACATACCAAGATATGTGAACACGCCTGACGCCAAGACTCTGTTACCATTCATTGTACCATTTATTCACATGTCTGTATTACTACATATTATTATAGCATGTCTGATGTCCATGCTTATGTCTAATGCCTATGTTCATTTACTATGTCCCGATGTACTATGTCTGTACCGCGCTAGTCGAGTAATTAGAAGACCTCATTTATTGTCCTAGGAATGTCTAGCAACTCTCTTTGCCTGGCTAGCTAATTTCCCTCAGATCGGCCTCGGCCTACCTACGGTCCGGGGTCCCTAGTAACCGCTCCTGTATCGGTTGGCTATCACGCCCAGCCTTGTACACTTATTGAATATACCTACTGCTCGTGCCCTGGAGTTTCAAGAACCTTGTCTAGGATTACATCCACCACACCACATGGCGCAGTCTGAGTAGCTCCAACACGACAGTTTACAAGCCTCAAGAGCCGGCCCCGTCTGTTTCCCGGCCTCGTGTTTCCCGCCCAGAAGATATACTCCACAGTGCCCCTGGATTTAAAGTGCTTTGTGACCTTGTGAAGTGCCCTAAGTGAAGTGCAGTGCCTTTCATGTCTCTTTGCTATGTTTCTGCGGCCCTACAGGTAGCAGACACGCCTCCAGCCCAGTTTCCAAGACAGCACTTCCGGCATACCCCCCATCCACGGAGGCTCGCAAGCCACTGCCCGCGTCCCCCTCCACTGAGTCATCACCAGCATCTCGCCCGGGCGCGCGGAGGAATACACCGCCGCCAGCCGCCTCCTCTCACTTCACAAATATTACAGTCAGTACTCTTTTACTTGCCAGCCAGTTCCTGCACTTAAGCAAATCCATTGGCGAAAATATAGCACTTCACCTTATTCTCCTTGTCTTTCCCATCGCAACAATACCAAACACGAGATGTCTGACCACGACGATTTGCTGGGAAATTTATATGAGGATTATGAGGAAGACGACGCCTCACAGACCCTCCCACCCCCCCTCACGCCTCACACGCCGGGCGCGCCAAATTCAAAGGATGGGAGCCAGGATATACGTCAGTTAATCCACTTCCTACAAGTTTCTCAAGAGAAGGAAGCCCAAAGACGTCAATTAGAGGAGGAAAAACGACGTCAAGAGGAATTGTCAAGACAGTCAGAGGAATCAGCTTACCGCCTTCAACTTCAACAACAACACCAAGCTGATAACCGCAAATTCCTGGACCTATTGGAATTGCTGGCAACGAGGACGACTTCACCAGCTGCCACAACCAACTCGCCAGCTTCAGCCTCTTCATCTATCCTTCAGACAACGCCTCCTCACACGTCACCTATCTCCCCTAGGTATGCCTCAGTGTCTTCTCAACCACCCGTTCCAGTCTCAACTCTCGTCGACCTCTCCGTGCCTCCTCCACCGCCTGCCGTCTCGAGTACACCCCTGCACAGCAAGTCTTCAGTTCCCAGTCCCCCACCTCTTCAATCTGATGCAACATATCAAGTATACCGTCAATGGCGACGTCGTTTCGAAGACTTTGCTGTTATGTCTGACCTCTACCGAATGCCCCCTCATAAACAACTCATCCAATTAAGATCGTGCATTTCCCTCGATGTTCAACGCCTCCTAGAGCACACGCTAGCCATCCCCCCTGACTCCCCCAGGTCAGTGACAGAGGTTTTAAACGCCTTGCAGAGTCATTTCCGTGGCCTCCGCAATGAAGCTTTGCGTCGTAGGGAACTGCTATCCTGCAAACAAGCTTCTGGGGAATCATTCTCAGACTTCTATGCACGACTTAAGGACCTAGCAACCGAGGTGGACCTATGTACAGGCGATCCTGTAACCTGTGCTGAGATCCAGCTCAAGATGATCTTGCTGATGGGTGTACGTGACGAGGACCTGCTTCAGAAACTCCTCACCCTCGACGCCGCCTCTTCCCTCACCGACTTCGTCACCTGTTGCAGGTCGTATGAGGCCACAAGAGAGGCTGCCTCAGCTATACACTCATCGCCATCTCAAGTCCACGCCGTCTCCACCTACAAGAGGAATCAACGCCAGATGCAGACGACGTCCTCTCCACAGCCCCCGTCACAGTCACCAGTTTCTTCTCCCGAATCCTGCAGAAACTGTCAGCACCAGCATGGTCCAGGAAAGTGCCCTGCGGCTGATAGTACATGTCGAAACTGTGGGTTTCAAGGCCATTGGCCCCGCACACCTCGATGTCCTGCCAACAAGGCCTCATGCAACGCTTGCAACAAGCAAGGACACTTCGCCAAGTGTTGCAGGTCCACCAAGAAGCCTCCATCTCCAGGTCAAAACGTCTCTTCACAGCCCGACAGAACGTCCACACCACCGTCTCCCAAGAATAACAAAGGATGCCGACGCGTGGATGATACCTCGAGTGACAGGTCCCCCAAGCCCGTCAATGTTCGTCTGTCCTACGGTACCAACTCTTCCAACCTCCTGATGATACCTGACACGGGCGCGGACATCACGGTGATTGGACCAACACACCTGGACGCCCTCAACATCCCCAGGAGTAGCCTGTCACCCACAGCCATGAACGACGTGCTCACAGCGGACGGGTCCCCGATGTCTCCACCTTTGGGTTGCTTCAAGGCAACACTACAGCTCGGTCCCAAGTCTTGCCTTGCCACAGTCCACGTCCATGAGGGCATCCAAACCCCTCTCTTGTCATGTGGCCATTGTCAGGACTTGGCCATCGTCTCATCCGAGTTCCCAAAGCCCATCCTCGCTGTGACACACCTCAACAGGTGTGCAGAGATACCTGTTTCAGCCATGACCACACCTGCTGCCGCCCGGGAGTTCTTTTTTCGTCAGTTCAGCGACGTCCTTGTCTCCAAGCCCGACCTCCAGAAGACGCCGCTCAAGAAGATGACAGGCCCCCCGATGAGAATCCACCTCAAGCCTGGCGCGACGCCTTTCGCCATCCACACACCCAGGCCTATCCCCTTTGCCATACGGGACAAGGTGAAGGCGGAGCTCGATTCTCTGGTGCAGCAGGGGATCATCAGACACGCCGGTGAGGAGCCCTCCGAGTGGTGCCACCCTATGGTCTTGGCACCCAAGCCTGTAGGTGTTCGCATCACAGTGGACCTCACCCATCTCAACTCGCAGGTCTCCCGTCCCGCCCATCCATCGCCTACGCCCATCCAAGCAGTCCGCAGCGTCACCCCGTCTGCAAAGTTCTTTACCACGGCGGATGCACTACATGGGTACTGGCAAGTCGACCTGGCGGAAGAAGATCGCCACCTCACTACATTCATCACGCCCTACGGCCGCTTCCAACACTGCCGCGGACCCATGGGCTTCGCAGCAACGGGGGATGCGTACTGCCTCCGTGGGGATATGGCTCTGCAGGGTGTCACCAACTGCGTGAAGGTCGTAGATGACATCCTGCTCTTCGACGATGATCTCCCGGCCCACTTGAACCGAGTTCATCTGATGCTCACAAGATGTCGTGCCCATGGTATCACCCTGAACAAAGATAAATTTGTGGTCGCCGCCCCCCAAGTTAACTACTGCGGCTACAACATCTCGCCAGAGGGGATCTCAGCTGATGAGGAGAAGGTCAAGGCCATCAGGGACTTCCCTACTCCAGCGAACCTGACCGACCTTCGCTCATTTATGGGCCTGGTAAATCAGCTGGCCGACTTCTCCCCTAAAATCGCCACATCAGCCCAACCTCTACGCCCCCTCATGAGCCCCAAGCGCTCCTTCCTCTGGACTCCTGACCACGACCTAGCGTTCAGGAATGTTAAGAAGGCGTTGCTGTCACCACCAGTCCTGGCACCCTTCGACCCGTCCTTACCAGTGGTCCTCCAGACCGACGCCTCCCGTCTATACGGCCTCGGATATGCCCTCCTTCAAGACCACGGCCAGGGTAGACTGTGCTTAGTTCAGTGTGGCTCCAGGTTTTTGACGGACACGGAGACCAGATACGCCACCATTGAACTAGAGATGCTGGCAGTCGCCTGGGCTATGGCCAAGTGCCGCCTTTACCTGTTCGGCCTTGGGCATTTCACCCTCATGACGGACCATCGCCCGCTCATACCCATTCTTAATCACTACACGTTGGACGCCATCGAAAATCCTCGCCTCCAACGTCTCAAAGAGAAGACCGCCCCTTACGTCTTTACAGCTGTGTGGCGCGCCGGGAAGCTTCTGTGCATACCAGACGCCCTCTCCCGAGCCCCTGTTAGTCGCCCCACACCTGAAGATGAAGTCGACTGTACCATGGCCGCTGCTCACGTTCGGTCTTTAGTGACACACACAGCCACTTCTCTTGCTGACAAGACGACGACGACGCCCTCCATCGAAGACGATAGGACTCTCCAGGAGCTTCGCATCGCCGCCGCTCAAGACCCGGCATACGTCCAACTCCTCGACTACGTCTCCGCTGGATTCCCCACCAACCGCTACGACATTCACGCCTCCGCCCTCCCCTTCTGGAAGCTAAGGGATAGCCTCTATGCGGACGGAGAGCTGGTGTTGTACGGCCCCAGGATCGTCGTTCCCGCTGCCCTCCGCCGGCGCACCTTATCCCGCCTCCATGACAGCCACCGCGGCGTTGAAGCCACCAGGCGCAGAGCCCGTCAGACCGTCTTCTGGCCTGGTATTGACGCCGATATTAAGAGCACGGTTGAGGCCTGTGAGCCTTGCCAGCAACTCCAACCCAGCCAGCAACAAGAGCCGTACCTGTGCAATGACCTCCCAAAGCGGCCCTTTGAGTCCGTGTCCGCCGACTTCTTTAATGTGGCCGGAAAGTCTTTCCTGGTGGTCGCCGACAGGCTCTCTGGATGGCCCGTGGTAGTTCCCTGTGGTCGGGACACCACCTCTTCCAGGGTCATCCGGATGTTTTGTTGCTTCTTCCGGGAAGTCGGAGTGCCTCTCCGCCTCCGAACCGACGGTGGGCCCCCGTTCAATAGCCACGAGTTCAAGAGCTTCGCCGAACGCTGGGGCGTCCACCACATCGTCACCTCCCCTCATTACCCGCAGGCGAATGGCCACGCCGAGGCAGCGGTAAAGTCCGTAAAATACCTCATCCTCAAGACAGCACCGACGGGGAACCTGGACTGCGAGGAGTTCGACAGGGGCCTACTGGAACTCCGTAACACCCCTACCCCTGCCGGACGCTCTCCTGCCCAGGTGTTGTATGGCCGCCCCCTTCGTACTTGTGTGCCTGCCCACCCCCAGTCCTTCTTAGATGAATGGCAGATCAAGGCGGACGAGTGTGACCGCCGTGAGGCTGCCCGGATGGCCCAAGTGACAAGCCACTATGACGCCCAAGCCCGCCCCCTTCCCAGGTTGGCCGTCGGCCAGCAAGTACGAATCCAGGACCCGACGTCACACCGCTGGGACAAGGTCGGGGTCGTCATGGGCCGTGGCGAGTCTCGTTCGTACCAAGTCCGCCTCCCCAGTGGTCGTGTGTGGTGGCGAAACAGACGCCATCTCCGCCCAGTGCCATCCTCTAGTGACGAACCTTCCTCCCCGTCCCCTGTGTCCCCTTGCCCAGACCAGGAACGAAGGTCGTCAGTTGATCCTCCCATTGTCCCTCGCCGCTCCCCCCGACTCATGGAAAAAGAGTCCGTAGCCGCTCGAGATTGCACTACGAGCGTAAAGGGGGAGGGAGGTGTATAGATATGTACATACCAAGATATGTGAACACGCCTGACGCCAAGACTCTGTTACCATTCATTGTACCATTTATTCACATGTCTGTATTACTACATATTATTATAGCATGTCTGATGTCCATGCTTATGTCTAATGCCTATGTTCATTTACTATGTCCCGATGTACTATGTCTGTACCGCGCTAGTCGAGTAATTAGAAGACCTCATTTATTGTCCTAGGAATGTCTAGCAACTCCCCTTGCCTGGCTAGCTAATTTCCCTCAGATCGGCCTCGGCCTACCTACGGTCCGGGGTCCCTAGTAATCGCTCCTGTATCGGTTGGCTATCACGCCCAGTCTTGTACACTTATTGAATATATCTACTGCTCGTGCCCTGGAGTTTCAAGAACCTTGTCTAGGATTACATCCACCACACCACATCAGCGTCCCTCAATGCATGCAGAAGGATAAGCCACATGCCCTCAGTGGATATACAGACGTAACCATCCTATCAATTGTATGTATATTATGTATGCTGTATGTATACTATGTATGTGCTCCATTTATATACACTATTTATTCAGCCTAGCTAGCAGCGTGTGGTAATGTATTTACCATGTCCCACATGCTTAATTAATGTGCCTGGCGACATATGGGAGCTGTTAATGTATCACTTACCACATGTCGCCTAGAGGCTAGTTGACCCCCAGACAGAGTAAGGAGCACCACCTCCCTTGTGTACCTTCGTTTATCCAGTAAATAGAACCTACGAAAACTCTACAGGTGTTTGTGTTCGCTCCTGTAGATAGAACTTGATACCCAGAACACATGCATCAATAACATGCTAAAATGAACTATATTGTATTGGAGCATAAGGAATTTGAGCCATTTTAGTCAAATTTAATACTTTTCCCTTAAAAAGCATGAAGTCTTATGTTATACGGTGATACAGGTATTATATTACCTAAGAGTTGTTGTTCCATAAGAGTGGCTATTTAATAAAGTTTCTGTAAATGTAATGGGTACAAATACATGCACTTCGAAAACAGCATTCACTTGTTGAGAGGCTATGTAGACCGGTGGCGGCCTCCGTCGGCTGGACAAAACTGGTCCACATTATTATTTTTAATATTTATAAATAACCGTTAGTCTGCTTTCAGTTATAATTTTTTCACTTGGGAAAGTTATTCAGTTTTCTGTTTTACTTGAAATAACAATCGGATCATATAAATAAAAATATTTACTAAATATTTAAATGTTCAGCAACAAGATCATTGGCAACTTTACAGAAGGCCAGTGTTATGCATGATCCCTAGTCATTTTTTTAACTCCTTTATTTCTAAATTATTGCAAATCACACTGAAAGCTTAATATTCTTTTGCCGTAAGTATTTTTGCACCCATTATTTAATGATTTATAACAGATATTTTGTCAGATGCCACTGATATAATTTAAGAAATTAGGTATTTATAAAAGCTTGACAACCCTTATTTAGAGAAAAGCCATATCCTACTTGATATTTGATTTGATAACTGATATACAGTATGTGGGTGTTCTGCATGTCTCATCAGTGCAATCACGATACACCAATGGCACACACTGTTTTATCCTGGTACACAAATAGGCAGGGGTAATAATAATAATAATAATAATAATTATTATTAGGTATTATTATTTTATCACTGTTGTTAACATTATTAGTAGTATTAAAATAAACTGTATTGATAATGAAATTATTAATACACATTCCAATGTTATTTTAAGACTGCTCACCACCTCCCACAGACATAACAAGAGGTCTTGCAAGGCCTCGGGTATGTTTATTCAATATTGTTTTTCCAAATTCACATCCGTGTTGGATAAAATGTGTTCCCTAATACATTCATCGCATTATAACCAATTCTCATCATGAAAATGTGTTACAGGATAACAGACTAATGCAGATATAAACTTAAATAGTTGTGTGATGCTTTTGAGTGGATTTATCTAAAAAAAAAAGATGAATATTTAAGAAATGAAATAAGAGAACTGCACATTTCTGGGAGACCACAGTACAGTACAGTACTCCTAATATTTCAAGCTCTAACTGTACACTATTAAGTAATACAATCAGTTGCTTCCCACAATTTTCCTTCATAAAGACTTAAATTTTACATATATTTACACCTAATTATAACTGTCATCTATTTCATTACTACTCCAATTTTTATTGAATTTTAGTACAGTAACATGTACTTTAGCCGGAACTCTCCGATAGCTGGTGCCATGGGTTGCGTTGGGCCTACCCACGCAACCCAACTCCAATGTTTGTTTTACAGGAGATAAGACACCAGGCGAGCCGTGACTCCATCATCACTATTTCATTAGTAGTTATGCAATAGCTCATGGGGGCTGATTGAGACAGTGTTGTATTGTCCATCGTGTCTCACGCCCCAAAACCACATTTTTAGCCAGTAGACCCTAGACAATGGGTTAGTCAAGACCTCCTCCTCCCGTCTTAAGGAAACGGGAAGCAACACAGAATTCTCCTGCGCGACACCGTCAACAATGACTGTCAGTGATACAAGACTATGAGTGCCAACCCAAGGTCTGTTATTCCCTGTGGAAAGATCAAGTATGAGAAAGCCTGGTTGCAACAAGAGCGATCCAGTGGATGTATCACTTGAGGAATTAAGGTTCTGTTGAGTCATACCCATAGTAGAGTCATCAAATGTGCATCCCCAGGTTGAAAATTCCCTCTTTACAAGATAAATTTCATTATGCCGTGAATGTGAGCGACTCATATATCCATGCAAATTGTAAATCATTGTATGGAAGCTTGCCAAATAAATGTAGGAGCAATTATCTGCCAGTATCTGTGATCCTATCTCATTTTTACTAAAGGTAATGACTAATTGGTTATAACAAAGTATAACCAATAACTTAGAGACGGATGTTGGAAATTATTGGAATTCATTAAATCATCATTTATCAAGTATAAATCACATGGAATGTCAGGTGGTGGAGTGAATTTCTACGTAGATACACCATAATCTCCTGTAAGTAACCAGTGTGAATGCATCTAACTCTACGGTAAGAAATAAGAAACACATAATTATCCCCATAATTTCGTGACAGCTGGAATTTAAATTTGCTTGGAATTTTTCTGGAAAATTCCAGGTTTGAATTTTTTTTCCGAGGAGCGCATTTTCTGGACAATTCTGAGGATGGGAGTTTCATCCAGGTTTGAGAAATGAAAATCAGGCGCATTTTCCGGAAATTCTGAGAACATTTTCCTGGTATCTGGAAAAATTCCAGGGATGGGGGATATTTCCGGGGTTGAGAGTTGTCTCGTTACCCGGAAATCTCTCATTCCAGAAGTGCTCTGCACCAATTGTTCTGGCTAATGGATACTTGTATACTGAAATAACAATTAGCAGAAAATAATTGAGAGTTCTCATGAAATAAGTTTGCAAATATCACTTTAATAGAAGTTAAAAAATTTAATGCATGTGTCAATACTTTCAGCTATATCTTGATGAAACCTAACCTAACCTAATCTATCCTTCACCTAACACCATAATTAATAAGAATACTTCTTTTATCCTCCTGACAAGTGGAACCAAATGAGAATCAACAGAATTTTAGTGCTGTAACGGTAAAATACAAGTACTGTACTGTACCTGGATAACTTGCATCTTCAGGATTGGAGCATTAAAGGCCATTCTCTTCCCCGCATAGTCAATGGCACAGTCAAAAGCAGCTTGGGCAATGCCAAGTGCTTGACCAGCTATTCCAATTCTCCCAGCATCTGTAAGATTTGATTCATTTGGGTATTATAAAAGACTTAAAAAAAAAAAAAAAAATGCTTTACAGAGTATACAGTATATTACTGTATTATCTTTCCACATTAAATCAAGAAGTTCAAACATCCTCAGTTAAATTAAAAACTGTATTCCATAATACCTACCTAAAGTCATCATTGCAATTTTGAAGCCCATGCCAGGTGCTCCCAGCATGTTTTCTGACGGAATCTGGCAGTCCTCAAATATAAGATTACACGTTGAAGACCCCCGGATACCTAACTTATCTTCTTTCTTTCCCAATGACAGACCTGAAAATATAATAAAGAAATAACAGAAGAGTTGGTCACATGACAAATAAGTATTTGGGTACAGTACAGGAAAGCCTCCGATAACGACGGTTCTACTAATGACGATTCATATTTAAGACCCTGGTTAATTTAGGACCCAATTCAATTTACACCATTAATTTCTTCGTATTTACGACGAAAATAGAATAAAAAATAAAATAAAATTACATTTTTATATAAATAATAACTAAATCTCGATATTATAAAAAAGAAAAAAAAAACACCTTGTGTACAGAGGCTGCCAGGCTTGTGAGAACAAACAGTTGCAGCTGCCGGGCCTTTTGTTTTCACGCATCTGAACAGGAAAAGGAGAAAAACTTTCTCCGATTTCTTATGGTATTTTTGCATCTCTATTCAACATGAGCAAGAGAGAAAGTGATGGTTCCAAAGCTAAAAGAAAGTGTTAAAGCTTAACCGCGAAACTAGATGTGTTAAAACGATATGAAAAAGGTGAGAGGTCTGTGGATATTATATGGAGCAAGCAATGAATATGTTTTCTGAAGTGGATCCATTAAGAGATCAAAGCATTAAAATTAACAGGAACATGAAAAATGCATATGACTTACACTTAAAGATGTATAATGAGAAAAGAAAGCAGCTGTGTACAGTTCTTTCCACAGCATCATTATTCGAAAGCCTAAACCATCAACTTCAGCTACACCATCAAATTCAGCATCATAAGCAGCTTCAGCAACAGCCTCATGTTAAGTAACAGTTTCAGCAACAGCTACGACATCTTTATGAAAAGCTACAGCTTCAGCCAGAGTTGAACCTGATGACTTGGTCATCTTTGAGTAAAAACTGGCACAACATTCATTGGCTGTCCTAATATTTTAGACTTTACCAGCATTGGTGAGTAGAGTCTTTGTTTTACATTAATATTATTTAAGACATATATGAACAGTAATAAGTGGTGCTTTCATATTCTTATGTAGAGAAATGATGAAGTTTTCACATGTATGCACTTACACAAGTTGGCATTCCCAAACCATTTCGTTTTTTCTTTACCATTAATGGTTAGCTACATCTATTGTTCCATTTATTAACATTAAATAACACTACAGTACTTAAAACATGCATATTATTTTTTTTTTTACATTAATTTTACTACAGCTACAACCAGGGTCTTATTTTCTCCAGTTTCTTATGTAGAACCATCGTCATCGTGTTGTAAACACTAATGAAAACAATACTGTCTCCTCTCCTCTTGTGTGTTTTAATATTCTACGTATTATTAATGAATTGCATTGTTCATTTCGAATAAATAAATATTAATTCAATCAAATACAGTACTTTTTCTGTACATTACACAACACTAATTAAAACAAACATATTTTTTTACATTAATTTTACTTCTGCAATAACCAGGGTCTTATTGTCTCCAGTTTCAGGTGGATAACTAACATTATGGGTGCAAACACTGACAACAACAATGGCATCCCATCTCCTCTTGTGTGACCTTATTATTATTGATTTATATTATAAGGTGTATTCATAAACATTATTTAAAGAATTTAGTTTGCATTTTTCATTAATTGTATTTTGGGGGGAAAAAAGAGGTAAAAAGCCACATAAAACATATGAAAAGGTCACACTAGGGAATGCATCTCATTATTATTGCTTTATTTTAATAGTAATTAATGATTCACGATACAATGATTCACCTTACACTGATATTGGAAAACACATTACCGTCATTATTCAAGGCTTTACTGCACTATTCATTAACACTGTACAGCCTTCAGTCCAGTATCAGACAAAATCAAGTTTTCCCTAAGTTATTACAGTGTGTGTCAATGGTGAAATATTTAAATTTTTTCCAACACGAAACTGTTTCCTAGGGCACACTAAGATTTCTTAGTAAATGCTAAAAAAAATCCATTAATTTCATTATTTTCATAAAAGTACTCTTTCAGCTCAATATGATCATGAAGAACACAAATGTAAACTATTACTTCCCATATGCGACAATGAACAATTATACGCAGGTTTGGTTGTACAGTACATGGGTTCGCCAAGGGGCTTAACTCTGTGAACTGGGAAGATTCTGCTGTGCTATACTGTACTCCAAATTCTTGACTAATAACAACAAGAAATCAACCTAAAGTACTTCCTAATAGATACCTGCACCTCTTCCCAACAGTGTGTTTAAACAAAATTTTATCAGGATCTACAATAATTATAAATTATTTTCTCTGAAAGAACTACAGTACCTTGAGGAATGTGGTCTAAGAACCCATGCTTGTCTCACAGTCAACAGGATAAATTCACCTGTGTAGACTCTTCTTCATTAAAAATTTATACTCCATGGTCAAGGTACATACCTAAGAGACTGTCATATATACTCAAACTAAACACACCCTTAGAGCCCCCTTTTTTCCCTTAATCTTCTTTGCACTTTTCCATTTACATAACATCTTGTAGCCCATCCTAGGCACTTACAGTACGTGTCTTAATTTTTTATAAGAGTACAGTACAGTACTCATCATTCTGACATGGAAAATGTGAAAACTATTATACCATCTTCATGCTTTATAAAATGCAGGTTCATGTAGTGCCTCTTTTGTAATAACAATGTGATTTACTGAAATATATAAGCAAAGACTGAGAGCCAAGTGCTTAAAATAGATTCTATATGCGTTACACTGCTTTTATTGCTAACAAAAGCTCAGTAGAGGTTATAATTCATAAGATTAACTATGCCAACTTACCCTCTATGGGTTTTGGTACAATAAAAGCAGATATGCCTTTATGTTTTTTTGACTTGTCTGTTGCAGCAAAAACAACTGTTGCTTCAGATTCATAACCATTGGTGATCCATGACTTTGTACCATTCAAGATGAAACTGTCTGCTTCTTCTGTGGCAATAGTTGATGCAGCACCTGCATCACTACCATTACCTACAATGCAGTACAAGGAATACATAATAATTTTCTCATGAAATGATGGAACACAAATATTATAAAGAAATTATATTTTAAATATTACTGTAGTGTTTCTGCACAACAAATTCCAAATAAGGAAAATATTAAAATAATCAGATCCTCGTACAATAACTTGCAGTTTACACACTGATTTAATACCGGGTAACCTTATTCTTAATATAACAAATCACAACATACCAGGTTCAGAGAGTGCAAAACATCCGACATGCTCGCCTGTTGTAAAGGGTGTAATCCACTCCTCTTTCTGCTTCTCAGATCCAAATGTCTGCACTGGGCCAATATAGAGTGAATTGTTGACACTCATTATGACTCCAGCTGTTGCACACCCTCTGAGGAAAGAAGCTTCTGATGATGTTATTTTCACAAACATTTCCAACCTAACATCCTTTTTCATGCATAAGAACCTTCTGCTATTTTGCAGGCTGGTCAAATAGATACAAATACCTTCCACTGAAGATGACAACTATTCCTACAGCTACCTTTCACTGATGATGACCAGCGTTAAGGGTTAATCGCTTATACAGTAATAACATTGTTAATAACTGTAAAGGCCTGGGACTTAGGGATAGAAATCCCTTACCAGCCTAATCAGGATCTTATAAAAGGAAAGTCAAGGACCATGATTTTCTGAGGAATAACAAACAACCGTTTGAGATTGACATCTCTTTACTATAAAAATATAACACAAAACTCTGACACCACTCAACAAACATCAAAAAAGGCAAGGTCGCCACTTGTAAAGGCCTGGGACTTAGGGATAGAAATCCCTTACCAGCCTAATCAGGATCTTATAAAATGAAAGTCAAGGACCATGGTTTTCTGAGGAATAACAAACATGGTTTGATCGCTCCTGCTCTCTTGTTTGCAGGGTGAGAGAGAGGGCATATCGAGCTATGAAACTATCTCCTTCTCCTATTACCCACACCTCTTTCATTACTTCTAGGAATCGTTGTATGGCTATTCTTCGTAGAGCCAAGCGGAATTTTATTAAAAGAAAGACCGCTGTCCTGACTAATTCTTCCTCTAGTAAATCCTTCTGGTCCTTAACTAAAAACATCTGTAACAACTTCTGCACGCCTTCTTTTCCTCCCCTCTTCCGTCCCAATAACTCTATAGCCAACTCTCCCCCTGACAAAGCCAACCTCTTTGGCACCTTATTCTCCTCTAATGCCACCTTAGACGATTCCTACTCTATCCCTCCTATCCCTGCACCTCCCACTGAACCTATGCACTTTCCTATAATCTCCACTCGCAGGGTTGCCGGTGCGTTATTCAGGTTGGATGTGAGTAAGGCGCAAGGACCGGACGGAATACCCCCCGGACGGAATACCCCCTTGTGTTCTGAGGGAGTGTGCTGAAGCCCTGGCCCCTGTGTTTGCTCACCGCTTTCACCTTTGCCTCAAACCCCAAACTTTTCCTTCTTCTTGGAAGCATGCCTTGGTTCAGCCCATCCCAGAGAAGGGTGACCATTCTAATCCCTCTAACTATCGGCCCATTGCCCTAACTTCATCCCTCTCTAAGATTTTCGAAACTATCTTGAACTCCCATTTTCTCCGTCACCTTGAACGCCTTTCTCTTTTGTCGGATCACCAGTATGGCTTTCGCCAGGCGACATCTACTGGTGATCTGCTCTCCTATTGCACCCATCTTTGGTCATCCTCTCTTAGGGATTATGGGGAAACTTTTGTCGTGGCTCTCGACATCTCCAAAGCATTTGACAGGGTATGGTACAAGTCTTTGCTATCTAAACTTCCCTCTTTTGGTTTCTCTCCCCCACTTTGTTTTCTCATCTCTAGCTTCCTTGAAAACCGATCCATGGCAGTTGTTGTCGAGGGATCAATTTCTCGCTCTTTCTCTACCAGTAGTGGCGTCCCACAAGGCTCTGTTCTTTCACCAACTCTCTTCCTTGTTCTTATCAATGATTTATTTCACACTACAACTAATTCTATCCATTCGTACGCTGATGATTCCACTCTTCACTCTTCCTCACATTTTCCCCTTCCTCCTAACTCTCAAACTAGATCTGTTTCTAGAACTGATATCATTACTTCTATCAATGCGAATCTGTGCAGCATCTCTGAATGGGGAGGTAGAAACTTGGCCAAGTTCAATAGTAATAAAACTCAATATTTATCAATTACACTGTAAATTAGACGATCTCCCACCAATTACATTTCAGGACGCTATCATCCTCCCAAATTCTGAAATAAATATGTTAGGCATCACCATTTCCTCCAATATGTCCTGGAAATCACACATCCTTAGTATAACTAAAGCTGCCACCCGAAAGTTGGGAATGCTGTACAGATGCCGCAGCTGCTACACTCCTGAGCAGTTGCTTCAAGTATATAAGGGATTCATTCGTCTTAACTTGGAGTACTGCTCTCATATCTGGGGTGGCTCTTCTTCTGTCCAACTATTAGATAGGGTGGAATCAAAGGCATTTCGTCTTATTAACTCTCCTCCTTTAGTCGACAATCTCTCTTCCCTTTCTCTTCGCCGCAATGTTGCATCACTCTCTCTCTTTTACAGGTACTTTAACGGGCAATGTTCGGTGCATTTGTCATCCTGTGTACCGTCGGCAAGGCCGTGGGTTCATAACACACGTCTTGCCCGTGGTGCCCACCAGTTCTCTGTGGATGTCGGTCACACGAGAATAACCCGTTATAGTACCTCCTTCTTTCCTCACACAGCCAAACTTTGGAATGCTCTGCCTTCTTCTGTGTTTCCATGCTCTTACAATCTGTCTCACTTTAAAAAGCTGGTTTTCCGGCATCTTGGTGGTTTAGATTAATACAGTATAACCTTTTTTTTTCTATATTTAAAATTTTTTTCCGTTCTTTTTTTTTCGCCCCCCAGGCTCCGTTGTGGGTTGTTTGACCTGTGCCCGAGTGGGCTAATTCTAGTAAAAAAAAACAAAAAAAAAAACAAAACAATTAACGGAAGTCAACAACTGATGGAATCAAACAATGAACAGATATATCCTACGGCAGCGGCCCTGGGGAAGGTTTTGAAAAGCGGTGATCCACTCTCGGGGGAAGGTCCATTCAACTCCTCACTCGAGTGACAACAGCCGGGACACAGACGGCGGAGATGAACTGACGGTCGTGGCAGCAAAGATAGTGGTTTGGGGTAGGTGTCCAAAGATTGACAGTCGATAGGTGAAGATCTGGGGACACAGCCCATGAGTCCAGAGCCTTTGATGAGAACACCATCAGAATTTGGGAGAGCAGCGGGGAGTCTGGGTAATGTCTGACGGTGACACTGGTAGCAGTGACCTCCTCACCTTTGTCCAACCCCCCCCCCCACCCAAGTGGGGGTCACGCCAGCAAGCGAGCGAATGAGCAGCGGTAACGAGCAGGAAGATCATTACCGCCCTAACAATAACGTAAAACTTGTATCTATTGCTTTTTTCTTGGGTCAACTCAAGACCAAATGTCCCACTGCCTATATTCCCCATATGTTGTGAAACTCAAATAAAGCAAATTCATGGAACTTGACCCTTTCATTGGACGGGGCCTGACTGAACCCTGAATGAATAATGTAGATTTTCAAAGAGAAACAATCAGTACTTCATCTTACCTGCTAATTTCTTCCATGGCAATAGCATAGGCCAGATAGTCCATCCCAGTTCCACCATACTCTTCTGGCACTGCAAGGGCCATTAAGCCTAAATCTCCCATTGTCTTCACCTATTGACACAGAGTTAATTTATTATGATATATATATATATATATATATTTCATGTAGATCCACAATGAAAACGTGGATAAGATAAATCTTGATAAAATCACACGGGAAAAGGGAAATAACGGAGCACCTTAGCTTTCGTCTTTATTCAAGACATCTTCAGAGGCAACTGGATTACATGGACAGAGAGAGGCTTAAATATACAGGGTGACCTCAAAACATGAGGTCAGGTCATAATGATGTCATCCACTAATCCCCACACCAACACACACGTAGAGGAGCTTAAGAGAAGGGGGGGTGACGTGATTAAGGAATTAAAATCAATAAACCTTAGTGATGGTCAGTTCAAAACTGATAATATGTTACATAAATTTATTTGTCAGTGGCCCAAGGTTAAAAATGCTTTGAAAACCTTTGATCTAGATGTATGATAGTTATTTTGTGGGTCCCTTTTTTCTGACCTGACTTGGCTAGTCACGTCACCACCCTTCTCTTAAGCTCTCCTCACATATATATATATATATATATATATATATATATATATATATATATATATATATATATATATATATATAAGCAAGGACTTTAAAATAATGTCAATTATGTCTTACAAAACCAAACAAATTATACTATCTGGTTGGAACTGTACAATACTGTACCAGATGGGCTGGATGGTGTTAAAATATCCACATACCCGATAATTATAAGATGCTCAAATTCCATTACCATCACAGAATCTTCTTATTTGTTCAAGGAAGCATTAAATTTTCTAGTTATTTCCCCTGATCATACAGGGTGTACAGTACTACCTGTGGATGGCTTTTATGGTTTCCTTTGGCTTCTAAATTGTTCTTTTTTCAGAGTGCAGGATTTATAGCTAAGTTTGGCATTACTCACTTGACTTAACTATGAAAAATATTTGATAATACTGTAGTGTAACTTCTTTTTCATTAGAGAAAAAAGTTGCTTATTATAAATCTCCCGACTCCTTAGGAATTAAATATTTCAAGCAGATTCAATAATTTTTGTCCATACAGTTCTCAATTTTTGCTAAAATTTACTGTAGAATGACAAAAAATCTTGATAATTACAAACATAAATACTAAATGAACAATTATTTCGACTTCAGTTTTCCTCTTTGCAACTGATCAGCCTATTAGCCAATTGGGCAGTCGGTCATGTCTTTATTATGCACTGCTGACAAATACTGCGCATGCATGAGCTCCAGAATGTACCCGAACATTCTCCAGTGCTGGTAAAGTCTGGTCGTAAATGAGCTAACACTGACTACCATCATAATGCTCTGACAGGTTATTCCAAGAGTTTAAATCGCTCACTCCAAAAAGTTAGCTCTGACAATTTTTTTTAGTTATGGTTTCTTTAACCTGAGGTTGTGATCACTAGTGGGGAAGGCATCCGTTAGGTCCAGTTATGAAAACTCAACTGAGTAATGTTTTCTGTGATACCTATAAACTTTTATTAAATCATTCCTTGCCTATTGTTAGTATAACCTGGGAGACTGTAGCTGCTCTAATCTCACTTGCTACTCAAGATCCTGGAGTGCAGGCACCAGTATGGTGGCCCTCTTTTGGACATTCTCAAATACCTGACAGTTTTGAGCATATCTCAGGGACCAATCAGGATGACAGTATTTCAAGTAAGGGATCAACCTTTCTCTGGTAGAAGGGGGGCAGTGGGGAGGGCTCAGATTAGGCGAGAACTCATTTCTTTACCTCATGCTGTTTTAGTTTGGGGATATAGATACCACTGTCATAAATTAGCCAACTCTATATCTTTTTGTTGCTGGATCAATGTGGAAAGTGGACTCTGTTATGATAGAATAGCAATCATTATGAAAGAGTCACCCATAAAATTTGTAAGAATAAAACTGCCCCCAAAACAAACCAAAGTGAATCCTATGTTGGACCACAAGCAATCCAGAAAAAGAACTTGATCAAAATAAATACAGTATACTCCTTCCTTCTGTAGCAGTGTAAAGAACTCACAAAACAACAACCACTTATAAATTTACCTCAACTCACCTGTTCTCTTGGGTATAGACCCTGCTTGTCAAACTTTCCTGCCAGAGGCTGCAGCTCTGCTTCTGCAAAGTCTCTACAGGTTTTCCTCAGCATTTCATGTGTCTCTGGGAGCTCAGCCAAAATTGAAGAGTGGCGGACGGAGGATAACCATGGTTGTGCTAAGTTTTGTGGCTGACCTCTCCATCCTGAAATGTAAATAATTTTGTGAGTGATAAATAGTTGTACAATTCAAGATTACCTTTGTTATAGCGGGAAGATGGAATAATACATAAAAGGGGAAGAGGTATTGAAATGGGGATGACAAAAGAAGTTAAGCATTTAAAGGGCAGCCAGCTCATGTCATGGCCACCTCCTAAGAGGGGAGATCCCTGGAGGGGTGAGGCCTTGTTAATAAGATAAGGAGATACATGGTTAGAGAACCCACAGACTGTTCTGATTTCTTGGACATGAAGATTATACTGTACATAATGTATATATTTGGGCTTTGGGATAATCATCTGTTAATAACTAAGCATCATAGAAATGTACCAGTACAGGTATGTTACAGTTGAGAGGCAATTTTGTTATTGATATCTCTTCAATCAGTATTTAAGGATCTTTCCCGATTTTCTACCAATTTAAGAATTGGTCTCTGCAACCATTTCCTAGATTCCATGGTTCTATTGGAACATACTTGGTAGATGAATTAGAACTGCCCTTTATTCAGTTTTCCTCCAGCCTTGGCCTAGGGGAAAAGAATTAGAATTGAATTGAAACAGTTTATTTAGCCAGAGAAAAACACAGATACAGAGTGGATAATAACAACAATATTAACATGGCTGAGCCAGTTGAGAACCTGAGCTCTCTTTTAGGCACCTGATATATACTACAGTGGTCCCTCGGTTAACAAACACAATTCGTTCCAGAAGGTCGTTCGTTAACTGAAATTTTTTTTAACCGAATCCATTGTTTCAATGGGATATTGGGGTATTGGTTCCAGCTCACAGAAAAGTACATACAAAGTAAAAACAAAAATGCAGTAAAGTACACTTACTTTGAGGTGTGTATGTAGAAGGTTCCTGGTTGATGATGATGATGGGGATGGGAATTAGAACTGGGGAGGGAGAAGGGAGAAGTGAAGGAAGTGGAGTGGAGGAGAAATCACCTTTCAGGGAACCATGCTTGATGCAGTCATTTCACCAATAAAATTTTAAGTTCACTAGGTGTAATTCAAGATTATTTTCTTTAAATCAACACTGCACTGCGTTATATATTATCAAATGTTAACTAAAGTTCAGAATGACCAATAATTTCAATGAAAAATGCAAAAATATTCAAGAAACCAACAAAATAGATGCTCTCTCCACTGTAAACAAAGCCTCAACTGACGCCTTGTGACTAACTCACGCATCTGATGGGCGCACAACAAACTAGTTCCCTGTACTGCATATATATCAATATGTTAAATAAATGTTAAAATGACTAATAATTTTAATATAAAACATGCAAAAATAATAAATAGCACAGCTTTATTGATATTTACTCCATTGGAAACGAATGTAAACATAGAACAGATTACTGAATGGGCAGACTAGCCCATCAGCTGATGCTCACAACAAACGTTAACCGAATTGAATAATCTTATGGAAGGTAATTCGTTAACCGAACCGTTCGTCAACCGAGGACCACTGTATACATTTTTCTCAAGGAAGTATTATGTAACATTTAGTGTCGGTACAGTTGCCAGGGCAGATCTCTTGCGTCATCACTAAAGCCCAAAGTAGCCAAATGCATGGTATGGTATGCACAGGATGATGTAAAGCATAAAGTATTCATTTTTTAAAGTTTATTTAAAGATTCATAAATTTTTGTTCATTACATTTGAAACATCAATCTTTGTTAATTAAATTTGAAACAAAAGAAAACTACGATACCGTATTTCTAAATACCAGGTATTTTCATTAAAATATTACATCACAAGTATATTTTACCTTAACCGTGACCGAATGAATATATTCTCAGAAATAAATATGGAAATGTAATATTTTTACTGAAAGCGACGTGAGTATTACAGTGGAAAGTGGGATAAAATCATGACAAAAATAATGACTTTCGCTTTCTTTCGTTGTTCAAAAGATTTTATCGTAATTGCTTTTTGAATGGTTTTCAGTTAAAAAACTGTTGTATTACAATAATATTCTATCCTAATTCACTTGAATAAATACTACGATACCATATTTCTGAATACAGTCGGCCCTTAATATTAGGGGTTAGGTAACAGAGATACCCGTGAATGTTAAAAACTCAAATGTATTGCTGCCCCCTAAAAATCCCTGGCCCCCATGTCCTTATTTACTGTATATACCTGTGTGTGAGTTCGGTTTTTAAGACAAATTATTTGGCAAAAATTGAGATTAACCTCTAAGCGGGTAATAGTTCGTTAGGTTGAAAATATTTACCAGTAACTACCAGTAACAATGGAAGCGATGACAACACCACCAGCTGGGAGTCGTGCAGTGCCAGGGACGAATCTCTTGCGAGCCCAAAGTAGCCAAATCCATGGTATGGTAGCACAGGACGATGTAAAACAAAGTATTCATTTATTAAAGTTAATTTATAGATACTGGACATAAATTTTTGTTCATTACATTTGAAACATCAATCTTTGTTAATTAAATTTGAAACATCAATCTTTGTTAATTAAATTTGAAACAAGAGAAAACTACGATACTGGATTTTCATTAAAATATTACATCACAAGTATATTTTACCTTAACTGTGACTGAATGAATATATTCTCGGAAATAAATATGGAAATGTAATATTTTTGCTGGAATGACGTACATATTATAGTGGGAAGTGGGATAAAATCATGACGAAAGACTTTTGCTTTCTTTGTTGTTCAAAATATTTTACGTAATGCTTTGAATGGTTTTCAGTTAAAAACTGTTGTACTCTTACTGTATTACAATAATATTATCCTATCATTAGCCTTATAATCCCCAACTGAAAACCATTAAGCGATTACGGTAACATCTTTTGAGCGAAGAAAGCAAAAGCCATTGCTTTTCGTCACTTTCCACTGTAATCGTACATCATTTCAGCAAAAAATTACATTTCCATGTTCTTAGAAATAAATGGTAGTTTTGTTGAAGCGTAATGTACAGTATTTAACATTAAAATAAAATAGCTATAAAACAATTAATACACCCATAATGTACTGGTTGGCATCTCCGCTCGTCCCTGCTCCGCCAGTCACCTCCTCCCGCTCTATCCCTCGCCTCCTCCCCGCTCTCCCTCCGCTTCCTCCCGCTCTATCCTCCGCCTCCTCCATATCGTCACTACTGTTGTATTCAATAATATTCTATCCTAATTGACTTGAATAAATACTACGATACCATATTTCTGAATATTTTCATTAAAATCCATCCAAATCATTTTCCTTGCCATCGTCTGCACAAAACAGCTTCTCCCAGTCTCTCCTTGAACAGGGCTAGGGAGTGCGTGTTTTTCAGATGAACAAAATTAAAAAATGTTACATCCTGCGTATATTTTACCTAAATGGCCTGAATGAATATATTCTTGGAAATAAATAAGATTTTGCTGAAGCGTGATGTATTTCAATGTAAAATAGGATAAAATACATGACGAAAACAAAGACTTCACCTAACCTTCCAATGTTCAAGAGATGTTACTCGTTTTTTAATAGTTTTGGTTAAAATACTGTTATATTACAATGATATTATATTCATACTGTGCTTGATATACTAAATTCAGAAATGAAATATTTTTGCTGTAAATAAAGTATTACAGTAGAATGTAGGACAAAATCTGTAGCAATGACTTACGCTTTCTTTCGTTCAAAAGATGTTACCGTAATCGCTTTTGAATGGTTTTCAGTTAAAAACAGTGCATCACAAGTGAATTAGGATAGAATATTATTGTAATACAACAGTTTTTAACTGAAACCATTCAACGATTATGTATCTTTTAATGGCAAAAAAAATCGCTGTCTCTTTTAATCACTTTCACTATGTCGTCGTCATTTCTGCAAAAATATTACATTTCCATATTCTCAGAAATAAAATAGTAGTTTTGCTGAAACAATGTATTTCAATGTAAATTAGGATAAACTACATGAAAACAAAGACTTTACCTAACCTTCCAATGTTCAAGATATATTTTCGTTTTTTAATAGTTTTCGGTTAAAAATACTGTTATATTAGTGATATTTTATTTACTGTGGTTGATATACAGGTTGGCATTTTCTTGATCCTTGGGAATATGCGTATTTTTCGGTTTTGAATTTTTGGTTTCAGAATGGTTATTTTTTTACAGGGATCAACACGGCACAGGTCACTGACCCACATTGGGGCTAAATAATAATAATAATAATAATAATAATAATAATAATAATAATAATAATAATAATAATAATAATAATTCATAGGTCTAGGTCATGTTTCTCACTTTTGATCTTTTTTTCATTCTTGTATTTCTTTATTATTATTATTTCATTATTACAGTATTATTATTGTTATTATTATTATTATTATTATTATTATTATCATTCTTATTTTATTTTTGTGTATTTTTTATTTAAAATTTTATTTACTATGAATAATTATTATTATTACTGTATTATCATTATTATTATTATTATTATTACCTGTATTATTGTATCATTATAATTATTATTACTATTACATTTTCACACAAGGTCCCGATGTGGGTCAGTGACATGTGCCCGGGTGGGCTAATACCACCCCCAAATAAATGCTAAAAAATCGGTTTTCAGAGCTTTTCGGTTCAGATTTCGGATAAGAGTTGTCAACCTGTAATACATTCAGAATGTAATATTTTGCAACTTCTTTAAATGCCGATGTCAACACAAGCATGGTTACAGCGGACTGACTGACCGGGGAAGCAGCGGAAAGCCATGAGCAATGTGTGTGTGTGTGTGTGTGTGTGTGTGTGTGTGTGTGTGTGTGTGTGTGTGTGTGCCCAGATAATGTATATTCCTCCAGCGAATCGCGTATTTGCAAATCCGTGTAAGTTAAACCCCCGTACGGTATGTTAAAGGCCTATAACATATATACAGTATACCTGTATATATATATATATATATATATATATATATATATATATATATATATATATATATATATATATATATATATATATATATATATATATATATATATATATATATATGAGTGTGGCGTCTAGGTATATATCTGATAACCACAAGAAGAAGAAACCGCGTTCAGCGGCTTTAAGTGTAATTCACTCAGGGGTGAGTACAGACTAGTCTGTACTCACCCTGAGTGTAATTACCAACTGAGGATATTTCTTTTGTTATCAATATATATATATACATATATATATATATATATATATATATATATATATATATATATATATATATATATATATATATATATATATATATATATATATATATATATATATATTACAGTGGAATTGAAAAACCTAAGTATAATGGGGGAACAGTAAAACATGGGTTGTACAGTAATAAGGTTGAACAAGAGGACAGAGCTGTCAGGATTATGTCAAGTTGGCAATTATGTTTTTTTGCAATAGTAATTTCTTATCTATTTACATGATAATTTCCGATAAAACGGTTTTCATGGTACAATAAAAGCAGGTACTGTAAATATAGTAGGTATTACAAGAAATATTAATACTTACACAATAGATATTTTTGAAGAGATGATTTAAAAGAAGGGAGCGTAGTCTTTGCTCGGATGGGTGGGGGTAAGTTGTTCCACACCTTCACACCGTGATATTTTATGGAGGTCTGGGACTGAGAGGAGCACATGGGGGGGTGGTCTTAGTAGCTCTGGGTGCCTTAAGTTGTATCTCTGATTATTCCGGAACTGGAAATAATTATTGTCAAGCAAGTGATTGATAGATTTGAAAACAAAGAAGACACAGCAGTAGGTGTTAATATCTTTGAATTTTAACATTTTCAATTTAGCAAATTTTTCGTTTGTGTGATCTGTTTTTATTCAAGTAGGTCATTGTCCGTACAACTCTCTTTTGTGCAGTAACCAGGGAATGTGTTTTTGAAGAGCCAGAGGCCCCCCATAGTGTGTGACAGTGAATCAGGTGTTGTTAAACAAGATCATGATAGATTTCTTTCATTGCTGTGAGAGTGAGCGACTGTCGAGTGTGATACATGAAACCGCACTGTTTATTAACTTTACTGTGAATGGCTTGTACCTGTATGTGGTTTCTCCAGTTAAGTTTTTCGTCAACAATAACTCCAAGGAATTTAGTATTTTGTTCCTGCTTGAGGACTGTATTACCAAGGTACAGGGGGTCCAATTCTGGGGATAAGTTTTCCTTCTGTGAAAGATTGTGTAGAGAGTTTTCTAAAGGTTTAAGGTCAGTTTATTACGTATTAGCCAGGTCCTGACTTTAGTCAATTCAGTGTTCATAGTTCTCATCAAGGAATGGAGGTCTGAGTTGCTGTATGCCTCATGGAGTGATTTTTCCTCCCGAGTCTCCCCCTCCCTCTTGCTCTGGGGTCTGTTGTTAAGTGCAAGCAGTAGTGGGGCCTGGTTGTCTGACTGAAACAGCACCTTTCATAACCAGAGGGAGTTATAGTGGCAAGCCTGGATGATGTACAATGTTTTACGCCAATGTTTCAGGATATTTATGTATCCTGATGGATCTTTCCGGGGCAACAGGTACAAGGCAGTGAAATACAGGACAATCCGCTAAATTCAAACAACTTTTCTCTGATTAGAATAAAAAATAGGCAGTGGATATTTTGCCATGACCGGTAAGTTCCTACTAATGCTATTTTACTATGAATGCACTCTGATAGGCTAATCGCCTATTACTGGCAAACAACGCGAGAACTATATTTGACCGTGACTATGACAGCATTTGGCATTTATTTTGCCGTGAGTCGATCATTGTGTAACTGTTATCATACCGAACCATATTTCTGTTATGCATGGAAACCTATCATTATAAAAGAGGCAACATTTACTAGAACCTGACCTAACTAACCAGAGAAAACTATCTAACCTTACTTAACTTCCTAGCCAGGAAGCAGACCCCCATCATATTAAACAGAAAGCACTCACGGTAAAATAGCGGGTAGATATTCGTCCATTAGCTTTCCGCAGGTCCCCGCCATGTTTACCTGAAGTTATACTCCTCACTCAGTCACTTGTCTCCTCCTTTCCTCCTCCTCCTTGTAAGTTAAGTTAGGTTAGGTTAGGTTAGGTAGGTTTGTTGTTTTGGTATGAGAATAGGTTTTCCTTTGTTTTTTGGTGTATTTTACTCAAATCTGACCTGTATTTTTATGCAAATTGTCTGTTTCTGTTAAAAATGAAAAAGTATTTTTTTTTTGCAAAAACTGCTAATTTGCACAAGAAATGAAGGTCAGATTTGAGTAAAACATCGAAAAACGTATAAAAAAAAACTATTCTCATACCAAAACCTGAGGAAATAGACGACTATTTACCAAATAGCGTTTGTAGGTCTTAGCGCCGGTCACGGCAAATTACCCCCTACGTAAAAAATATACCAGTAGGCATAACATTGGGAACTTAACTTTTGTACTGTACTACTTAGTGTGATAAATGTTAAAAAAAGCAAATTGTTACAAAAGTATAAATCGTTATTTCACCCTCACTCAAAAATAAAGAGGCGATCGTCTGCTTTGTATTGACTTCAGAACCACAAACTAATAAATTATCCCCGAGTACTGTACACTGAATACAGTACACAGTAATATTGCAGTAAATGGGTCCGATTAATTACCCAAATGTAGCCGCAATGAAGTCAAATAATGGTCCTACATGAATAAATCGGACTGCCAATCACTTCTCGACTAGTATTTGGTGTCACAAAGTAAAAAAAATTGGAAAACGTAATTTAATCTGAGTTAATAGATCGAGTGCATGTACCGTACCTAACCTAACCTAACCCAACTCAGATTAAATAAAGTTTACCAATTTTTTGTGACTTTATGACACCAAATAATAATCGAGAAGTGATTCACAGCCCGATTTACGCTTGTACGACCATCATTTGACTTCATTGCGACTACATTTGGCTACATTTGGGTAATTCCTCGCTCCCTCGGTACATGCACGCGATCTATTAACTCAGGTTAAATTACGTTTTCCAATTTCTTTTTACTTTGTGACACCAAATACTAGTCGAGAAGTGATAGGCAGTCCGATTTATTCATGTAGGACCATTATTTGACTTCATTACAGCGACATTTGGCTACATTTAGGTACATTTGGGTAACAAGTCGGACCGTATTATACATTAGGTTAGGTTAGGTTAGGTACCGGGTAACACATTTTTTATCAGATTCTTTGGTTCTGCAATCTGCAATTTTACCCAGTACACTTGAACTATATATTACCATGTTTTCGTACAATCTTTTACTTTACTTTTATCCTCTTCACCCGGGCGATCGGTCACGTCTCTGTCACGCACTGTTGGCAAGTACTGGGCATGCACCGGCTCCTGAATGTACCTGAACCAGCTCCAGTGTTGGTCAAGTCTTGTCCTGAAAGAGCTCACACTCGGTGCCCTCACAACACTCTCTGGTAGATTGTTCCAAGAGTTTACAACCCTCACTCAGAAAGTTTGCCCTCACGGTTTTCTGGACTTGCGGTTTCTTCAATCTTGAGCTGTGACAACCATTTTATAATTAAATATAATGACAGTATAACTCAATCTTAAATTTTACAGGGCCAAACCTTTGTGTGTGGACACCAAGGGTCGAGATATCCTGGAGAAAGTCCCCATCAGCTGATTCACGACAGCCATCTTCTTACGTATTAGCCTCTGGGATTTCCGACTCTTCTTTACCGAACACGCTGATTGGTTCAACTGCTCGCGTTGTGATTGGTTGCGATATCATGACGTAATATTACTCAACTGCTCGCGTTGTGATTGGTTGCGAGATCATGACGTAATATTACTCAACTGCTCGCGTTGTGATTGGTTGCGAGATCATGACGTAATATTACTATTTTCTATAATATAATGTGTGGTGAGGGTAAAGAAGATCCCAGATACAGTAGAGTAGTCCTCATACTCAGTGAATTTCATTGTCCCTGTCACTAGTTTTATAAATTTCTGAATAATAAACACTGCATTATACACCATTGAAAGTGTTATATGAGATCACATTAGATTTGTATTTTATCAATTGTAATTTGTATTACTTTTCGATAATACTGAATAAAAAAAATAACCAAAACTTTCCAACAATTTTATTTTGACAATACCTAAAAAATATAATTCTGGTAAAATATCGCTAGTAAAATGTAGGTAAGGTAATTAAATACATCTACAGTTTATTTCTTAGTATTCTATATGGTATTTTAGCCATGAAAAAGCATTTTTCTAAAAGTCGGTATTGATTGATTGATACGTTTATTGAGATACAAAAAACATTAATACATCTCAAAGGGATAAAGTGACATAAGTCATCCCTGTAATGACCACGGTCTTACACGTCAGTTAGCGCCAAAATCAAATGATTCATATTACGCTCAATAGCCCACAAAACATGTAACTCGGCTGTCGTTTGAGTCCTCATCACTTCAAGACACCTCAGTCCTCCGTTATCCCATTTTCTCTGACTTACTGAAACCAACCTCTCTATAAAATGAATGTGAGTGTGAGAGAGAACACCCTTGTTTTGAGTCAACTTAGATATGTCTGTTTACAGTTGGAACATTCAAGATCCATTGTGAGTGGGGTAGAATGCTTCAACTGTCCTTATCGTTAGTAGAACGTGTCAAGTAAGTGAGTGTCGAGTTTGCCAGCTAGAGTGGCGTATTTTATGTCGTCCGTGGGGGTATCCATGAGTTTCTGATCGCGCCTGAAGTTATATCATTTTGTCGCCCCGACATCAGAGAATCTGATGTTTATAGTTTAATAAGTGTCAGTTGTCTATTTAAGAAAGTCATTAATCTCCTGAACTATTCTGTCAACTGGTATAATCTCCAAGATCTAGCGCCTCCCCGTGAATAGCTCCTTGTTCGCCTCAGGCCTGAGCTTGCAGAATTAATGTTATCGACGTGTATATTCCACCTTTTCCTGGCAAGCTCAACCTCTGATTAGATTATATGAATAGACATAGGAAATTACCCTGATCAAGAACACCGGAGTTCATAACTAAGTATACAGTGATCCAAAATGATAGAGAAGTTATGTTGTTGGTAAGATCGACCCTTCTGGTATGAATACGGAGGCCCCAAGCTGCCCCGCGAGTGCACGTATATACCTCGACACGAGGGAGAATCACGCATTCGTGACTTCCTCAACGTCTCTCCAGGTATGTTAACGTGTGTTCCCGCCGCCTATTAATTCAGTTTAACTTAGTCAATTTTGGTGAATATCAGTGCTCATGTGTTAACATAGTGAATTCTGTGCCAATTAAGTCGAGTAACGTAGAGATTTAGATATTGTCTGAACCGTTGCCAGGCGTATGTTTTGTATAGTTGAAGTTAGACCTTTACGCATTCGTGACTTCCTCAACGTCTCTCCAGTGTGTTGAGCTGAATACTCATCGGCTAACGTGGGGCGGTAACCGGGTTGGACGATGCCGTTGATTCGAGAGGACTGAACTGGGAAGTCCGTTTCCTGCAAATCAGGCGCCCACTCCCTGAGCGTGTGTCGGTCTACAACTGACCCCTAACAGCGATCTTCATTTGTTGTAGAGACCAGTGTTACCCTGGGGCACTCCTCACAGTCACATAGGCCTAAGTATTATGGTACCTTGTTTGGGGGATAACTAGCAGAAATATAGTATCCCAGGTTAAGTATTGAACCACTGAATGAGAGTTAAAAGTGCCATGTTGTTCCTTGTGAATTAACAGGAGGTATTGTATGTTGAGATAATTGTGGAGTTGTTCAGTGTGCTATGTATTCATTGGTAGTGACCATGAAATGATAATCTGAGAGTATAATGATGTAACCAAGAAGTGAAGAGTTAATTTGCTACTTGGTAAGGTAAGACCTGAGGGTCCAGTGATATCTGGTGTATACCCAGTACTGAATATCATTTGGCAGAGTGACAATACCACAATTGTCGATTGAAGTATTAAGTATTTGGAGGTATTTAATGAGGTAATAAGTTCTTGAAGTGTTTGATGACTTAAGAAATAAATTGCAGTTTTGCTTTGTCTGAGTGAATCTAAGATGCATCTTATCCAATCACTGTGTTAATAAATATTGAATTAGTAATCTACGTCTACGAGTATCACCACTCTATCCTTTCCCACATTGGTTCTCAGAAAATAACTAACTCACGTGCCTAGAAGCTCGCTACCTAACAGTTAACTAAGAGATGTTATATTCTAGAAAATCCTGGGTGGTGGCAGGCTACCGTTGTAAGTATAATAAGTGTGGTAATAACAAAGACATGGTTTCCCAGGTTAATCCATGGTTTAGAATATAACTAGAACAAAATATATGGATGAGATCATAATATATGACAGGAAATGAAAAGAAAGAACATTGACTTGGAAAATATAAGCAGAGAAGCATAAGAGTTACTTATATAAGAATATAGAAGAATAAGGATATATATGTAAAGAATTGAAGAAGGATAAGTATATAAAACCGGATACTCATTGAAAAGAATAGCTGGATGGTAAATTATTGAAAAGAGAAAACTCGGCCCGTTACATCCCCACCCCAGTCCAGGAATGTCCCTCTCAGGACTCACATAAATCCCTAATATTTCATATAATCAGTTATAGTACATAGTTATACCCTAGATACAAAATTTCTATATTTCTTTAATATTTCATCTATTTTCCTATTTTTATACATCCACTCTATTTGCATGGGGACATTATTTATATGGGCATTTCTATATACATTAAGCAATGGGCATTCCAGTATATAATGTGGCAGGGTATGGGATCTGGGTGTTCTACAAACTCTACATTCTTTATCCTGTTCATTTCTCTCAGCTCCAAGTTCCCAATAATATTTATATCCTAATCTTAACCTCATATACACTGAATCTTTCCACCTACTCCTATCTTTCCCATATGTAAATTTTGTGTTCATGAGAACATGATGGTAATGTTTCATTGTTTCACTTTTCTCGTATATTTCATTCCTTTTGAAATTATCTTCTATTGATTGTATTTTCCGTAATTTGCTCCTTAATTGTTTCAAGGTTTTAGTACATATTATGTCGATCTCGGCTTTTTCCGTGGCTCTTTTTGCTATTATATCTACTGCTTCATTAAGAACAATGCCTACATGTGAAGGGACCCATACAAATTGAACATTATGGCCATTTTTCCTGATTGTATTTACTAATTTTCTACATGAACCAATAATGTGTTCAAAGACTGGACTCCCACTGTTCAAAGAATCCAAAGCTGCCCTACTATTAACAAAAAAATATGCATCTTTATACTGTGGGGTACGGGTTGTTTGTGTTCACACTCAGGATGGGATGGAGAAAGGAAACTCACAATGTGCTCTCTGTATAAATGTTGTATTGGATGCACAATGCAGCTTGGTGCTGGGAAGTGGCAGCGTGGTTACAAGCGTGATGTAGAGAGAGCTGGTTGGTGAGGATGCTCAGAGAAGGACAAGCTTGTGGGTCGCCATGCTCGCCGGCGGGAGCGAGGGCCGCCAGGCAGGCGGAGGAGGAGGTGTTGCTTGCTGGTTGGTGTAGGTAGAAAGAGAGGGTAGTCACCACGAGGTCAGGTCTTAAATAGCGGAGGTAGGCGTGGCTTAGTAGTTGACCTCCGTCATGTAAGGCGGCGCTGGTTGACCTAGACCACGAGGCACACACTGTGGAATTCGCGGGGTCGGCTACTCAGCGACAAACAGCGTTTGTAGGGGAGAAATCCACTACAATACCTCTTTACAACATTTTCCAACCCTACTAACATTGTATATAACTCAGCTTGTGTTAATGATATAAAACTGCTCAACCGAAGTCCAATTTTGATGTCATCATTTCCTTGTTCTGTGTACTGTCTTATAAGGATCCCGCACCCTGCCCTGCCACTTGACATAACTGAACCGTCACAATATACATGCAATGTGTTTATTTTAGGCAAATTACTAATCTTCTTCCCATATAAAGCCCTTAACTGTCCTGGTTCATGTAATGATTTCTTCATTGTGAGAGGCACTATGTCTAACTCTACTTCTCGTTCTTCCCAGGGTGGATTCTTACAACTCTTCTGAACAGCTGTACACCAGTCTGCCAGATTACATTTTTTAATAATATTTACTAATCCATTCTTGTATCCTCTCTTGCCTTGCCTGCAGAAGGTCCTTTTATCTTTTAAGCCATCATTTATATCTTGTACAAATTTACCCCCACTGTTCCCTCTCATCAGGGGTTAAGAAGGTACCTAGGTGAGGTCACCTGGGAACAGTCACGTCAGTCCCCAGTAGGAAGGGGTGAGGTCATAGATGACACAACAATTGATCATGACTATAATATATTCACTAGTATACTACATTAGGGTGTGTCATAGGAGGGAAGATCAGCTAAAACTAATGGCCCATCACTTTTTTGGTAGATTTTAGTGTATATAAACAGAAAATAATTTCAGTTTCAATATTTTGCAACCTTTTGCTAGGTAAATTTTAGCGTGAAATTTATCGAAAATCTGACGTACAGCTGCATTAGTGCATTACAATTAAATAGTGAACATTGCTTTCTGACTTCATTCTTTAACAACCCAACTAACAATATTTTTTTCTGTTTCAGATTCTGATGCATTTATAAGTTGATAATATTTGCGATGGCTGCTTGTGTCAGGACGAGGAACCAAAAATCCAGCCATCTCAGTCACTATCTTGGGTCTGGGAGAGAGCTCCTGAAGTCGGAGTTGCCTACATTGAGA